CAGGAGGTGCTTAAATGAACTGCGACTTTGACAGGCGCAGAGATGTTAATTAGCCACACACAGCTCAGAGCCATGCAAATGAAGACTCAACCAAAGAGTCAACCGATAAGATCTACTAGTAGACAACAATTCAATTAAATAATGCACTCACACACAGTATTACATTGATAGAGGCATTTAAACAAGCTTATATGGAGCTTATCAAATCAATTTTTTCTGACATTTATTAGGATTGTACTTACAATGTATGTTTTGAAATCAAGAATCAATTACTTGCACATTTTAAACCAATATAGATGCAATAACATTTGAGAGAAAAACTGAACTATGGTCAAATAAAAAATTAGGCAAGGACATTTCATTTCATTAGCAAATGAAAGTTGTATTGCCTTTCAAATTGCCAATTAATTTTGCAGTCCTTACAGGAGTTCAAAGACTCCTTTTCAAGAAAGTTTTTAATTTGATGTAATCATTTTGTATATTGCTTGTGTACGCTTGCAAAACAAGACCAGAATAAATAATCCAGCAAACATTATCATATGCAAAACTTTCACAATTTATCCCAAGGAATTTAAGTAAAAACACAGCACTTTCTCCATCTTCTCTCGCTTATAAATATGTATTTCTCAATCCATTTGATCTGATCTGTCTCTGGTTCTGACAGTCCTTTGTTGAGTCTATCTCCTAAAATCTAAGTGTTGTAAAAGCGCACCTGTCCGACTGCGTAGGGACATATCAGCCCTCACTGTGTTTGATAATGACACTCTTAGCTCCTCTGTTTCTGCACCACCTTATCTTTTTTTATTCCATTATTTAAGATTTGAATTTAGATTTACAACTGCCATGGGGGACCATTTTGGCGCTGTCAGCACTTGTATAAGTTTTGCCTGTGGTCATTTACCCTTTCCCCGTACCCCCCACAATTCTGTCTCCTTTTTTTCCACCAAAGAAAGACACAAATCCCATCCTCCAGTCTTGAGAGGCATGACTGGTCTGGGGGCTTTTCTTTCGCACACATTCATTCACCCACAATGTTTGGCAGCAGCGTGGCACTCTCCTCCTACTCCAGCTCTCCCTCTATACAGGTCTTTATGCTAGTTGTGTTTTTACCACCTCAGCGTAGTGGGTTCACTTCCCGGCCATGATACGTTTACTGGATGTCTCTCCCCTCGCTCTCCCCATTTTCATGTTATAACTGCCTTGTCAAGTAAAGCTACATTATGTGGAGAAATGTGTTTTGGAAACAACTATATGTTTGTACAAAGGCCATATGAAAGAGTCTCTAAACATAGACTTACATCAGTGTTTACAATTATTCTGTGAGCATGTATGTTTATATCTTCTTTCTATACAAACTGACCAAGGAACATGAAACAAAGACGGAAGCTCTCCATGTCGCATTAAAAGACCACTGAATGTGCATCTGCAGCTTGTTTCTGCCTCACTGGACGAGTTTATTGCCGACATCAGAGAAAAGGATACTTCCTGCTCTCACATGAGGAGCTGTTTAACGTATGGATCGAGGTAAGCCACAATAAAAAACCTCAGACTATTTTCACTCTAGAAAAGATGTGAGCGTCTTCTCCTCTCTTTGTGCAGATGGTGACCTTTATGTTTCCGCTGGAGGCTTGTCAATTACATCAACACGGAGAATAGACAGGAACCTTTAAGAAAATAAGGCCTTTCGAGTTAGCACTTCATGGGAATTGTTATTACTTTGCTCCCGGGAACTTTAAGGTTGGACGGAAAATGAAAGATGTTGTAATAACGACATATTGGAGTCTAAAGGGACATTTAAAGTTGAGATATTGATTAAATAGCATAGTCTAGTGGTCTAGTCCAGTAGGCTTAAAATACCAAAAAGCACCAAACAATACAAATATTGAGCTTTTGAATAGGACAAGGTGATATGGTGTAAAACTTATCACTATATGAATGGGAAGAATTGTATTAATGATATGACACTACAACTATAAGTGTCTTCAGCATCTGCAGAGCTTCTACAGTCAGGCTATAAGCAGCCGTTAGTAGAAGCTGCAGTGTGCATGCAAATTATATAACAATATTAGAGTTTCCCATCACCCCAAAACAAACAACAATTTATTCTGAGCAATATCATATGGCCCAGTTCTACTGAATGAACTCAAAGAGGTTTAAACTATAACTACATAAAGAATAAATAGGACATTTTAAGTCTAAATTTATTAAACCATGACTAAATTTAGACTTCAAAACACCCACCAATAGTAGTAGTAGCACAGAATCCATTATGACAATATAATGTATAACATATAACCAGATTACGTTTATGTATCTCCACATATAGTAACAGAGATTTATAGTAAAAGAAGTGTATCTTACAGCATAATCCATAGAGATGGGCAGAAATGTGCTATTGTTAGACACTAGAAGCATGTGGGCATAGGCAATATGGCCATGATATGCATTTTCTACTGTCACACCAACTAACTGTTCTATGTGGTCTTGTAGACCTCCTGCCTTGCAACATGTGCCCAAACCATCGAAATCTAACAATATCTGTTGAAAAAGGTGAAACGCTCCCTCTTATTTCAATGCTCTCAGCTCTTCCTATTGTTTCTTAGTGCACTCTTTTCTAACGAAACAACATTGCTGGTTTTTGGTATACTATATAACTACCCCATTAACTCTACATCTGCATTATGTTTGATATTTTCTCATTGGTTAGAGTATTGTGGTTTAATCAGGTATCAAGCCCTTGTGGGTATTTTGGTGTCTGTCATTATACATGATTGCTCCAAGAACTCATTTGGATGTAAAGATGGAGAGGATGAAAAGCCCATCATTTGTCAGTCCACACCGGGATCGTCTCTCACAGACCCATGGCTGATCCTTGAACAACACTCTCTTTATGCCTCAGGAAGTCATGATAATGCCACCAGGAACAGGAAGTCGCAGTGAGGTACAAACCAAAAGAACAGAATTGTAACGGTGGGAAGAGCTTTTGATGTACAGGTTCAGCACTTGAGAATTTCCATTTAGATATTTTGGAGAGCCATGTAATCAATAGGGAATTCTATCTCTTGCTCTTAATTAGAAGTATGATATCATACATAAATGTAAACAACAATATTTGACACAAGCAATTATTTGAGAACATAACATTTGAGTAGCAAACACATTCACTCCAAAAACGTTTGTCTTACTACTGCCACTGGATATTAAGTCATTGGCTGCTTGTATTGCACAAGGCAGGAATTATTATTTGCTCATCTAATTCTCTAAGTCTTTACAACTTCCAAGAAAGAAGAGAAAATGTACAGTCATATAGTGGAGTTTCTTGTAATGATCACAATAATTTAGATAGTTACGATGACTAGATTTGCAACATTGCAGGTACTATTACTATGTGTACTATAATATTATCATACTCCTAGACAGCACCATCTAGGACTAGTCATACCTTATTCTGTATACTGGACCAAACTTCTTGATTATTTGTAAAAAAAAAGGATGAGTTCATGACAAAGGCAATAATCTTAATGTGTTTCAGGAGAAATAACAGCCACTACCTCTCAAAGACTTGTTCTGAGTCGAAGATCGCAGCCTGGCAACCTCTAATGCACCTCTACATCAGTGACTATGACATAATGGGGTTGTAGCAGTGTGCAATTAGCAGAGACTGTAGCATTAAAAGCCAAGCAAAAAGAGCACTTATACGCTCCTATAGTCTGCTGTCTAAAGTCTGCTTTCTGTTTCGAACCATCCAACTGCTGGGGGGTAGCAAAATGTCAGCATAAAATATACAGTAGGTCAAATAGAGCTGCGGAGGTTAGAGTTGAGAAGAGAGAGTACTGTGTGAGTCTAACTGTGTGTGGTTTCATTAAAAAGGGTTGCACAAAGCATTGGCAAGGAAGTGCTTTGATCAGTTATCAGGAAATAAGAGTATCATTGTGTTAAGATGTGAATGAGAAAATATACTGATGCTACACTATTGATGCTATGTTTTCTTCAGTTAAGCTGGATAGTGTTTTTATAGACTGAGCAAAACAAGAGATTTTAAATTTGAAAAACGACCTACAGTGCATTCACACTGGATTTGAACCCAGTTAAAATGAAGACTCCAATCCAAGTCCTTGTTTAGTCCTGCTCTAGTCCAGGTTTAGTTTCAAATTTAGTCCCAGTTTTGCAGTCCTATTTTGATGTGGTTCGTATGTAACTATGAGTGCACCTCAAGTGTCCGCAAATAGAGGTAGCCTATTTGAATATATTCCATGTACACAGCTGTGTTTCTCAATATGATTTATGATTTTATGACATTCTGGGCATATGAAAGTTTGACTTTCTGTTGTCATTACAATATTTTCAAATAGTTAACAGCTACTGTGGACATAGACATATTTTAATGTAAAAATCACACATCCTATGAGTTGACAATGATTAGCCATATCTGAAGTTTTCATTTAAGCTACTAACTAACACCACAAACTCTCTCTCTCTCTCTCTGCCATTATAATATAATATAACCATTTTAGTATCTGCATTTCTATACACCTGTGTCATAGCTGTCTGATAATATTATTATTGTCAAGCAAGGTTTATGATGGGTGATTATATTTTCCAAATGGCCATGGACATTACATTATAGAGTGCACTTACTACTTTCTGCCCCTTTGACCATCTAACTGATAAGTGGCCAGTTTACGACAGGGCTATAAAATGACTTGACAACCAGTGTATTTGACATTTTACTGACTACAAAGCCCACAGAGCCAAACCAGAAAAAAATCGCTCTATTCGTCTTGAGCGTTGATCTACTATTTCACAAGGCACACAAGAGAGGTAAACCCAAAGACGTAAGACGGACGTAAAAGACGTAATTCCCATTCATGATTACATTGGGAATATTCAGCCAAGGCTTTAGAAATGTCGTGAATAAAGTGGAGACACCTGATCTGCCTTTCACAGTTTTGTGAATGATGTGCGTAAATGCCAAAGAGCGATAAAGTTAATGGACTTACCATGTCCGCTGGGGTGCTGCTGCCCGTCATTTTGAAGGTGTTTCAGTGTCCAATCACTCTCTCTAGACACAAATATATTCCGTCTTTTTCTGGTCTTTCGTCGAGTTTGAAGCAGGAAATGTCTGGTTACTTGTTCCGTTTAGTCTATCTATGCCGTGGTATCCCAGACCAGCACACTTCCTTATTGCACAATCATGTCGTTCTTGCGCGTAACATTGGGTTTGAAGTTTGCAAGTTAATGTTTAGGGCGCTCTCCGTCCCTCCCAACGCCAAGACTACCCTGCTCCGTGAAAAGGTGCCTACGCCATGCGAAAAAGCCGAGACTATTGCCTCTGCTGCAGCTAACACATCCAGACACGGTCCGCTCTCTCCGCGTAAAAAAGACACGAAAGATCCGCAATGGGTAACAGCTGTTTAGTGCTATGGCCCGGGGCGGACAGCAGCTCCAGCGGGGTGAGACTGAGAGCGACCCGCGGTGAGACGTCCTGCAGCTCCGGAGGAAGGCAGGAGTTTGGGAGAAATGTGGTTAAAGCGAGAGGTTGCGCTGCTCCACCTTCACGACCCGCTCAGCTGTCATCCTCCTCCTCCAAGCAGCGGCAAGGCAGCGTGCGCCTCATACAACACATCCGGTTAGACCCCTCAAAGTAAAGCATTTGAGTTGCTTTGCTATAATTACATTAAGGAGAAAAATACAGACATAGCCCAGGTAACTTGGCAATTCAATTCACAATATTGGTATAGATTCGCCTATAGATTAGCTTTGGGCAAGACACTCCATTGGTATAAACGTGTAGACTAGTGTACTTGTTTGTGACGTGGATTAGTGACAATAGACATAGACTGGTGCCAACCCCTTATGCCAAACCTGGGCACATGTCTGCACATGTCTGTATCCAAAAATAGCCCTCTGAAAAAATAAGTGCCAACCCTTGACTTATGCCATAGGACTAAACAGTGTTATTCATCACATTACCAACACAGGTATTTTTCTCCTTCATGTCCATATCATGCTTTATCAGCCAACCACTGATATATCATGTGTGTTTTATTAAAATTTTACCAACCAAATTTTCCACGTTTGATATCCATCCTATTAATCGTTTTTTATCGATTTTATAATGTGATAGGCAACAATCACAGCTCACATTTGTCAAGTATTATTTTGAAGGCAGTGCAGTCTCGTTTCCTGGTGAATAATCTTCGCTTGCGCACTTTACATGAGTTTCTTTGTGAACATGGCGGCAGTTCCCAGGTCTGGAGGTTGGCACAGAAGAGTGTGTGGAAGTGTTAGGCCGAGCGAAGAGAGCTGCTCAGCGGAGGAATGAGAGAGACAGAAGAGGAGGAGGAGGAGGAGGAGGAGGAGGAGGTGTGTGTGCTCACGAGGACAGGCAAGGACATGACATCCATCAAAATCAACTCATCACTTTTCACATTTAAAGGGACTGCACTGTATAGACTATTTTTACACTAGTTTCAATTACTATACCTAAACCTACTTATCATGATTTGACCAATTTTGATTGAGAAGACACGTGTCCAGTGAGGCCTGTCATATGCCACTTATTAATCCACATACACTCACAGAAACTCTTATGTAGACCTCCTCTCACTACTATATAAATTGGGATGTTTTGACAGCATAATCTTAGTTACTTTATCAATTCAAATTAAGATGAAATGAATGAGCCATTAATGTTTTTAAGTACTACAAAGTAAAATATTAAGCATAACACCCCACACAAGTACAGCCAAGACAAATACACTGTAAAATAATGTAGGCTTGGTGATAGATATTAACATTATGTGGTAACCAGTTTCTTTTTAATGGGCAGTTTCTTCAATAATATACCTTATTCCATGTATAAATTAGTATTCATTTACCTCCACACATTACCGAACTATACAGAAAATATATTACTTGGGATTTGTAATTGATTATATTTACCAAAAGTATTGATAATTATTTTACTTCCTGTGCATCAAGCTTCTAACCACTATATTACAACATGTAGCCTGCATATACAGTCAGTGTGCCATTCTCTTTATGGCTCAAATTTAAGTCATTTCACAAGACAAGACCTAACCCTGTAATCAATAAACCAGTAAATCTGCTGGTGACTGGTCACTCAAACACATGTGTTGTCATTAGGAGTTAGCTCAGACACTAAAATCCATGTAATGGGCCTCAAGACTATCAAGTGGTTACTGCTGTGGGTGTTAAGTGCAGTAGGGACATACGTGACAGCTTCATAATGTTACTTCAATATGGTGCAAAGCTATTTATAGTCCCCATCTAATACATATGTAATATAATATCCTTTATGCATGTCCTTGGTTAAGTGCTGTGGCTGCCCTCAACGCGTGTGGGCCAATGTCCCTGTTGAGGGTTTTAGATGCATATCGGGACCCGGTCTGTCCCCTCTATTTCAGCAGGACAGGGGAAATCTATTGTGGCTTCAGGAGTAGCTTTTACTCTGAGATCTACAGGATTAAGCACCTAATCTCAGGCCATAAAGAGGGAGAGTGGGGGGAGAGATAACACCAGACAGACTGTGCAGAACAAACGTGAGTGTGTGAATGTGTATAATGTTAAACCTAGTTTTCATTAAATTAAGGTCAGAAAACACAGGGGTATTTGATTACATGCTACATCGGCCATAAAATCATTGTCTGAGCCACTTACTTTCTAGCAATATTGACAATACAGCATTCTTATATACTACCATAGAATTTCATATATTATTATATTAGAACTATTAGAAGAAGGTAATTTGCGGTACCCAAACAATGCAGGCCTCTGTCTAGTGGTATAAAAAAAGCCATTTGCTGTCTACCACAAGACCATGTGCCAAAACTGTGCTGTATTCATTAGAATATGAAACATGGACAAGAAAATACTATCCTGTCTACTCAACTGAAACTGATTATCTATCAATATATTTAGCATTTTAAACCTTGGAGAACCTTGTTCTCCATTGCAATAGTGGAGAACAAAAGGCCATATAAAACAACTCTAGACTTTAGACAAGAACATAACTTTAGACCAGTGGTTCCCAAAGTGGGGTCCAGAGACCCTTGGGAGGCCCCCTAAGGTTGTCCACACAACAAGCAAGAAAGAAAATTGAGCTTTAAATTAACTTTACATAAGATATTTGTTTATATTTCTTTCTATTAGTAAGCCCACAAGAATGCATTGTTATTACATATAAATATAAAGAGAAAACATTACATATTTTATTTTATTTTTAATTTAATTTCATACATATTTTACATTTAGTGTAAAATACTAGTATTATTAGCTGGGCTCTATGTGATCTTCAGATCAATAGGGGGCCTTGGCACAACCGACTTTGGAATTAGCTGCTTTATACCATGATGCATTTAGCTATACGCCTTCCACAGCATGTACTGTACATAAAATGAATAAGTAAGATATCTCTTCTGTTTTTAAATCTATAAAATTACAGGGGTGGAGTGTATCTGTACAACTTTGGGACTAAAGTGAACGTATTTTAGTTACAGTACCAGCACACACAGCCATTCACTTCACATTCTTTCAATGCTTCTCACTTTCACTCACAAAGAACAGTTTTCACAGTTGTCAGGTGTTTGTGAACCTTACACAGGAGATTAGTTGTACCTAAACCTGTCCAGTACTTATGTTATACCACCTCCAGTGAAAAGGGGGTCCATGTATTCCACCTGGTGTGGTCTCTACCTCGCTCTGGTCCAGTTCAGTGATAGTGCAACTCAATGAAATCTGAAGCTGTGTGTCACCTTTTCATGGCTGTCTTTAAGGTCTGCTGATCGAGAATAAATGTAGGATTTGTGTAAAGACAATACAAGCTTTAATCCTGTAAGCCTCTCAACTCTCATTCATGTAGCCACTTTATAAAGGTAGGGCCAGACCACACACAAGAGGTAAATGATATATCAGCAGTGATGAAGCAATTTGACAAGCATCAGCACAGCAGCCATTCTACTTGTGTTTATAATGTATAGCATTGTAAGCTAAAATTAAACGGATATATGAGAAATATCATTAAAATGGATAGATAGTTCTTAACTCACGCAGAATAAATTTGTATCTTTGACCAACACAATAGAAAAACTACACATACAATAAATAATATTATAGCCATACAGTTTTTTTCCAGACAAAGTTGCTTTACAATCTCTTGATTTTTTTAATTCTCTCCTCACATTTGGCTGCCAAACATTACCTGTGGTCTATTCTGCTTACACCACTTTCACAGGGAAGGTGGGTGAAGTGTCTTGCCCATGGACACAATGGCTGTATGCACTGTGGGCTGAAGCTCTAACCAAAAAAAACACTCATAAACCATAGCTGATTACAGATTAACAGATTTCAAATGAGTCAAAGGATTGATAACATTTGAGTTCATTTTGATATAACCAAGTGGGCGATGTAAGTGAAGTATTTTGCCCAAAGACACAACAGCAGTGTGTACTAGTGTAAGTGAGAAAATACTGGTTTGTAGTTGACCCACTTGACCTACCACGGTACTTATCAGAAAAACAAAATGAGCTCTAGGAAAAGACCACAGTAGTTGACATTTAAAAGCCAAAGGGTAAGGAGTAATCAATAACCAATAATATGCTTTCACCAGCCCTCACCGTCTACTATTCCTGTCTCCTATGTCACAGCAGACAGTCATGAATCTGCAGCTTCAAACACGTTGGGTCCATTTTAAACCCTGACGTGGGCACGAGCAGATCTGTCCCATTATTAACAGGCTCTGTGTCACTGGCTATTCTCAGAAACTCAACGCCCTGTGGCTCAAAGGTTGGCGCAACATAACACTCTCGGCCAGACACCAAAGAGGAAGCTGAGTGTCCCACAGGAGGACAGGGAGGCAGGGAGGGAGGGAGTTTCCTCTATGTGACCGCACTGTGCTGTTTGGTGTGTTTGTGTTTGTTTGTGGGACTAGTCAAGTTCACACACAGAGAGAGAGAGAGAGAGAGAGAGAGTGCCTGCTTACACTTTGGACAAACTATATGTGTAGTGTATGAGTGTGAGGATCATTTTAGGTATGATTTAAGTAGCCATTCAAAAGACATATACAATTACACGATTTATGAAATTGTAGGTCCAATTATGTGTGTGTTTATTTTTAGAGATTGTTTTAAGGTACTGGTCACATATTTTGGTAGTTGCATGTTTATAAAAAGAAGGGGCATTTTTAGACTGTTGACTGCTGTAGTGGTGACCAAGTTAATTATAGTATAGTATAGCTTTAAAACATAAATGGTTTATAAAAATATTCACTTTTATTTATTAGTGACCCTTGTTGTGATTAACCTATGTTTTGTACAGATAATGCTTAACAGCAGAAAGCTTTAAGCGAATTATGCACCAACAAGGAGCGTCCTCTGTTAAGTGACCGAGATATGCAATAAACATGATCATTTAGATTCAATGACACATATAAACAAAAGTATGTTAGTGTTTTTTCTGTAAAATAATTATCATATTACATTATGAATGAGAATTATGCCATCATATAATTGGAGAGATTCTGTGTTTATCTTCCACTCTCACTGGCCT